CCTCACGCTCTGTCCTCCACTTGCTTCCTCGTAATCCATACCTCGGCAGGGCTGCTGTGGCGCCCCGCCACGTAAGATGCGTGAAACAGGACAGCCCCACAGCCGTGAGCCTTCCTTAGAGGAGCTGGAACTGCCCCCTTATCGTGTGTAGGGGGCAGGGCGCCCAGTGCTCCCCGAGACCCTCCTCTCTTCTAGTCCAGGTCTCTCCCCCAGCACGGAGCACCTCTCTGGGGGTGGGAGATGGAGGGCACAGACCACACCCGGGGTTCGGCTCATCCACAGGAAAAGGAGAATGAGAAAGAACTCTGAAATGTTGGCAAAGATGTTTTCCCTTAATCGATGGAGACCGGAGGTCGGTCTGTAAGTGCGGCAGTGAGGGGGTATGACTCCCCGATACAGGGATCCTGGTCTTTGACACACAGGTCAGGTCGGAGCCAGGATTTCTGGAATCGGAACTGGTCCTTTGGCACATTGGTGGTGTCACTGGGGAGAGATGGAGGATGGGGAGGAAGGGGACCAGGCAGTCCTTGTTCACAAGGGAGGGGCCAAGGGCTTTAGGGCTCTGGCCAGCTCCATCCCAGCCTCGAAGGGGCGCAGACCCAGCTACAGACCCGACCTTCCCAGGTGCCTGCCTCAGGGTCCCCCAGCACTGTGCCTTGGGTGGGGCCAGGCTCGCCAGGGTGGGAGCGCCTGATACCAGGCTTTACCCCCTGAGCCTCGACAGCTGCTAGAATACTGGGGAGAAATGGATTGTTCCAGAAAGCGGGAGCAGAGCCCCTAAATGGGAAGTAAGGGTGCAGAACGCTGGGGCAGGTGGGAGCCAAGGTCTTGTTATCCCCGCTTCTGTGGGCCTGGTGACTCCCCCACCTGACCTGGGTAGGAGTGGGAGGGGGCTTTCGGGAGGTGGCCCTAGGGGAATAGAGAACACATCTGTCAGCCTTTAGGATTTTTTTTAAATTCAAAAGCTGTGATTCAGGTTTAAGATGGAAAGGATGGGAACAAACAGGCCAGGGAGGCAGGGGTCTCCTGGGGTTGCCCGGCTTGGGGGTATCAGGCAAGAAGAGGCAGGAGACCTCACCGGGAAACGAGGCTCATCCCCGCAGAGCCCACCTCCTTATTTCACAAGACCCCTTTGGATCTCCTGAAAGGAAGTCATACTTAATAATTTTATGCTTAATGACATGCCTACACACAAAGTAAGATCACTACGCATATCGCCCTATAAAATGGGAGAAGTAGAGGGAGAGGCATGGCGGTTGGAGGGACACCACATGTTTCTGTGTGCCCACCCTCCGCATGACGGCCGGGGGGAAGGTGTCAGAGGCGTGGGCGTGCGCCCCAGCACAGAACCCCACACCCCCCAGTGAGAGCACCACCTAGGAAATCAGGGAGCCCCAGGCCGAGAACCACTGGCCAAGACCATGTGTCTCTGGGCCCCCATCACCCCACCAGGCCTTCAGCCCAGTCCTGGCGACGCCCACCTGCCGAAGACCACAATAACACACGAGCCGTCCAGGGACACCGCGCACCCTGGGCATCTCGGTAAGATGGTGTTAGTGAGGATAAACTCGATAGGACTTGGGTGTGTGTTATGTGACTTGGCTCAGGACTGAGTGCTGGCAGGAGGCAGAGAGTGCTGAGAGACTGGGTATCCCAGTAAATCCTTGTCTGGGAGGGGTGGCTTAAAGGGTCGGGGCTGCCATACACGGGCCAGCCAGCAGGGGGTGCTGGTGGTCCCTGGGGTCCAGATCTGGTCTGCAGGTGGGGGCCTGGCTGGGGCTGGGGTGTCTCCAATGGGGTCCGCGGCCTGGTGGGTTGCAGGCAGTCTGTGAACTCGTCTGTGAGCTTAGCACAGCCCCCCATGGGCTCGGGACAAGGCTAGGCTGAGGCCCGACACTGAAAGGGAAATCCTGAATCGGAGCCATCAAGGTAAAAGGTATTTCACTGGAGTAATTTTTGTAAAGTGGCCTGGCAGGGTCCCCCGATCATCTGATCCCCCAGAGGCTTTAAGGGGACATGTGAGGCATGGTTTTGCCTGCTCCTTTGGCTTTGACGCGGGCTGGGGAAGAGTTGTGACCTTGGGGCCGGGGTCAGCATCTGCACCTTGGACTTGGCCATCCCATCCTCCCCGACAGCCCATGTGCTTTCATGGTTGGGCGTCTGCCCCCCGCAGAGGGAGCTGCCTGGTGTCTCTGCCCGGCCGGCCCGTGTCTAGGCCGGGACCCACCCTGCAGACTGAGGCCTCAGAAGCTCCCCAGATGACAGTAGCATCTACAGTCCCTCCTTGAAGATATTGTGATGCTATTGGCTTGGGGGGTGGGTTAGCATTCACGCTGCCCGGGACCCCCAGGGAGCAGGGAGCAGACAGTCCAAACACAACCCGTGTGAAGATCCCCCGTGCCCCCCGGGGGAACCACAGAGAGAAGATTGGGGAGAGAACTTTGAGCTCCAGGATGAAATGATTGAGACCCCCAGCCCCCCCAGATGATTCTCCTGAGCTGGGGGGGTCCCTGGAAGGAGGCTCTGTGCTGGAAAGAAGGTTGTTTCTGCATCTGAGTCTGACCTGGGGTCTCCCCAATTACCCAGGAAGACGCTCTCAAAACTAGAATGCACGAGGAGGGGACAGAAGACTTTGCCCGGGGGTGGGGGTGGGGGGCAGGACTGTCCCCCGTGGTGGTGTCTGGGCTGTGATGGGGCAGGGGGCCTCCAATCCAGCCCGCGAGTGGGGCGGCGGGTGGCAAGCGCGGTGTCTGTGAGGGTGATGCCTGCACCCAAGAAGGGCGTGTGCGGAGGCCTGGGGACCCTCGTGCCTCCGTGGGGCCGGGGGCTATCCCTATCCCTGGCCAGGCCTCAGCTCTCTCCTCACTCTGCAGATGTGCGACCATGCCTGGAAGCCGCACGTCCCCAAGGGCCTGTGTGGTCACCGGGCATCGAGCCTGGCAGGCCACACACAGGGGACGCAGCCGCTCTTTGCACCCCCACCCCAAGCGAGCCCCCCCAGGACGTCAACCTTCCGGGCAGTGATTCCTCAGCTGGCGGTCATGGGCCCGGGTCCAGGTCCACAGTGCCTAGGGCCGTGGAACTTGCGCTGAGAGCCCCGGGCGGTGAGGCGGCCCCACAGAGGCTCGGTGCTGTGTGCTCATCTTACCCATGGAGCGGGGCGGGGGTGCCGCGGCAAACAGATGCGGCCTCGGCACCGTCAGTGGAAAGAGGGAGGTGTCCCCTCGCTGGCGGGAGGGCGTGGGGAGCGCTGGGAGTCCAGCAGGTTGCCGGCCAGGACGGTTGTCGGCCGCGCTGGGTGTGACAACTGGCTCAGGGGGGACAACACGCTGCGTCAGTCGGGGTCTTGCTCTCCCAGGGGAGCTTAAGGGACTCGTCTGCCCACCTAATGAAAGGAGCAAACTCGACCCCCCCGCCCCCTACGGGACAGCGAGAGCCAAAGGTGACCTATCGGGAACATTCTCAAAGCCTTGTTGTAACCGAGGAAGGGACGGGGGGAGGAAGGGGGCCCCAGCCGCAGGCTCTGGGTGGACCCTATCCCTCCAGGGCACAGGAGCAAACAGGCAGTCCCGGGGCCGGTGGGGAGCACGGAGGGAGGGGGCGTCTGGCTCGGCGCCGAAACTCGGCAGAGGCAGGCAGAGACATGCGGGCTGTCCCCATCGATGGGGCTGTGTGGCAGGAGGCCATAGAGCCAGGCGCTGGGGGAAGGAGCCAGGTGTGTATCAAGGAGGACGGTGACAACATGGCCCCGTCACCAGGGTGACCTCCAAACTCCTCCAGCTAAGATCCAGCCTGGTCTCCGAGGCTGGACTTGGTGTGTGAGGAGAATCGGACCCAACGGCAGAAGGAGGGTCCGTCCTGGTGAGCACCATCCTGGGCAGCACCCACTGCGTGGCCTGAGGTGTTTCCAGAAAGGGTCGCTCCCCAAGCCTGGCAGGTGTCGTGGCTGGGGCTGAGAAAGAACGCACGGGGCTTTGGATCCAGAGGCCTGGACGTCCTGTCGTGGCCCCTCAGAGCAGACCTCATTGCACGGGATTTTTCAAGTCTTTTTCCTTCTCTTCCTTATCTGTAAGGCAAGGGTAATGAAACCTCACCTCCAGGGACATTGTCAGCTTAGCGGACCTGGCCCCAAGACAAAGCCTGTAGTTCTGATGGGAGCTGCTGGTGTAGGACGATGTCTCAGACCAAAAGACCCTATTTCTGTGAGCTGCACCCCTTCCTGACGGCTGTTTGGCAGGAAGGAGCACGCGGGGCATTGGATCTCTGGGCGTAAGAGGGCGTGGGTGGCAGAAACAGCTTGTGGGACGCCCGGCCTGAGCAGAGGGACACCTGGGGGCCCCATGCGACGTCGGTGGGGAGTTGTGTGTCCTAGAAAGTCAGGGATGGAAGGAATCGCCCTGCATCGTGGGGTCAGTAGGACTTCACGAGGACCCGAGACAGAGTCCTCATGGTGAGACCAGCTCCTTTCATCACAACGCTGCGTCCGTTTCCAGCAGGAAATGTGAAAGGAGGCCACTAGAGTGTCACAGGTGTCACACTTGACTTACAAATAAACACCAAACGTGCAGTGGGTAAGACGGCTTTCGTGCTCTGCTCTCTTCATGAAGGAAGACATTAATTTGGTTTTTTGAAACTGACATTTGAAATGTCTTTTCTGAATTTGCACCACGTGGTGGCCACTGAGAAGGGGACTGGGCCTCCCTGCCAGGTGGGGCTTGGTCTAAGACCTCATGCGAACTTTCCACTCCTGGGAGGGGAGGGCTAGGAGGCCCTGGGCTGGAGGCGTTCACACACGCCCCGTCCCCACAGCCCCCATCCGGGAGACGCTGAGAGAGGAGAGCCGCTGCTGAAATAAGACACAGGAGCATCGAGTCTCAAGTCTCGAGTCTCGGGAACGAGGAACGGCCCTCATGCTGAGCACGGGATCTTTATTTGTTAAGACATCAGGCCCCAGGCGCTGGCTTTCCATGGAAGGGCTTGCCGGGAGCCAGATGGGAGAAAAGCAGGGAGCCGGGAGCAGCCGGCAGAGGACACAGGCGGGGGCCCCGAGGGCGGGAGGTCTTATCCCGGCATGTCCGGGACCAGTGCACGTTGCTTCAAAATCGGCATTCTGGAAACAAAGCACAGGCATTGCGTCCCCACGACCAGCCTCGGCCTCACCCACCAGGTGCCAGGCTTCTCAAGGTCAAGACAGGCTCCGAGGTCAGTGCCTCGTGCTGGGTTCTCCCCACGTCACTGGGAAAGTGTTGCGTGTCTGACCTTGTGGAGAATAGAACCCACCAGAACCTAGGGGGTCGGGCAGGTGGATGGGCCTTGGCAGGGTCCGCTGTCAGCAGCCAAAGGAGAAGGTGCAGCCCCCTCCCCGCCCCTCCGCTGAGGAGCCCCAAGGAACGGGGACAGCCAGCAAAGAGGCAATGGCCGACTCCCTCCTGGTCCCAAAGCCTTATCTGGGCCTCTGCCTGGATATGCCGGGAAGGGGCAGGAGGCTCGGGGCGGTGGGCGGGGCACCAACACCAATCAGGGAGTTGGCATCAGCTGGAAGGCGGCCCCAGTCCCTCGTCACTGGGACACAAAGGGTGCCGGCTGATTCCAGGAAGGCACCTGTGTCCTTCCTAGAAGATGACCTGGCATCTGGACTGCCAGGTGGCTTCCGGCAGACCTCACGCCCCGGATGTGGGGCTGGGCGGACAGAGCCAGGGCCCTCCACCCCCACCCCCACCCCCGCGTGGGCAACACCTGCTTGCGGCTGACACCCCGGGGTGGCTGTCCTCACCCTACTGCACTGCTGAGGAAGGATGGGGGGCTCTCCAGGAGGAGGCGGGCTGGAGGAAGATGGTGGGGTGCAGAGAGGCACCGGGGCTCGGTGCCTGGACCGCCACTATGTGTCCCACCAGGAGCATGTCACGAACAATGGTGCTTTGTTTGCTGAATGTGGCTTCAAGCATCGGCCCTGCTTCCCTAGCCTGAGCATTTTCCACTCCTCTCCAGGCCAGTTTTTAGACCAGCTCCCTGTACGTACATAGTGCCTTGACTTTGAACACCTTTTGCCAAACAACGGCTTTTAGAATCAGCACAAACCCCTTAGCAAAGGGACAGCAGGGGACAGCTCCCCGCCGCTGACGTCCCTGGGCGCAACTCCTCTGATAGACTCAGCTGATGGACAGCCATGGTGCTGGGGGTCCTGCCAGGGTGTGCATGGCCTCCGGGGACCCAGGAAGGATGCTGTGCGCGCGGGAAGGCCTACCTGTGTCCTGCAGAGGCTTGAAGCACCAGGGCACCCCGTGGATGCTGGAGTCGAAGCAGCAGCCCCGATTGGTGCACTGTTCGGGGCTGATCTCGGGGTAGCCGCAGTCCACCCTGTCCTTGGCCGGCACCTCACACAGTTTCGTCGCTGTCCCAGACAGCACCCGGTCAGCGCCGGAGGCTGGCTGGCCCCGGTGGGTCCGCTGACCTCAGCTGGCCAGCGTGCAGCCTCCCCCACTTCCGAGCTCAGAGCACGTGACCCCCACCCTCACCCCTACACCTGCTTGAGGAGGTCACTCTTCCCGTGTTGCCCGTGGGAGCTCTGGCCTAACGGGATTTTCCTTAGGAAAACAGAAACCACAGGGAACCCCCGATGTCTTCTTCTGCCCCTGCCACTCGCTAAGTCCAGGGGTTCCCGAACCTCCCTAGCACCGGGATCCCAGATTCACTGTGGCGTGGGGGCCCCGTCCCGGGCTGCAGGATGTGCCAAGCCATCCGCGGGACTCTGGCGGGCACCCCAGCTGGAAACCCCAGGCCGCCTTTGGCACCTGATAAGAACCGCACCCTAATTTCTTCAAACGAGGGTGAATGGGACAGCCACACCTCCTCCAGATGGTTCAGGGCCAGGGCTAAGTGGAAATGGGCCGTTTGTGCTGAAAATATTCTGGAAGAGACCGTGTTCATCGGGTTCTCTGTTTGGTTAATGTGCCGACATAGTGCGCCAAGACCTTTCTGGTAATTCAGAAACCCGCGCCAAGAAGGCGATGGGGTGAGAAGGGTCGGCCGCAGCTACCAGCCAGGCCAAGCAGACCTGGGTTTTAACCTGCTTCCGGCACCAACTGGGAGGGTCGCCTGCAGTCAGTGACTAACTTTCGACCCTCTGTTTCCTTATCTGTAAAATGGGAACAGCGAGACCCAGTTTGTGGGGCTACTGGGAGGAACGTGTGCGTCTGGTAAATGGCCATTACTAAGTAACGTGGGGGTCTGGTCACCTTCCTCAAGCCTCCCCACGGCCCCCCGAGCCTGGATCTTGGGTCTCTTCTCATCCTACTCCGTTCCCTGCCTGCGACCAGAGCCCTCCTGCCTACGGCGTGGGGAGGAAGTCAGAGCAGTACTCACACAGGCCCTCGTACGCTGCTGCCCTGTTGGAGGACCCCAGGACCAGGACCACCACCAGCAGCCAGAGCACTCTGGCCTCCATGGTCACAGGCAGGCGGGCTCTGGGGACCCGTCTACTCGGAGAACCTGCCGTGACAGCCAAGAAGACGCATTTATACCCCCGTGTTTGTACAGGCACTCTGGCTTCTGTTTGCTTGGGGACGGCCCTCCCCTCTGGCTGCGACCGCACCTACTTTTCCCTGCGCAGGACTGAAAAGCCCCCAGCGGCTCATCTTCCTGAAGGGGAACGGGGCAGCCTGACCCCGCTGCCGCCAGCAGGGAGGCCAGACTCCAGTCTCCAGATTAACGCTCCTCTCCGAGGGGCAGGGCTGTCTGTCCCAGGCTACCCTGGCCTGGGGCAGAGGACGGAGGCTTGGCGTGGGGCTGGCTGGCAGCCAGAAACCCAGCCAGGAGCAGTCTAGAAGGCTCCCTCCTTAGTGACCACAGAGCCCAGAATCCCTGACCGGTCTTGGGGACTGAAAATGCGGGTCCCCTCCGCGCGTAAGACCCGCTATGCGCACAGATCTCCTTCCTCCCTCGTAATTCTTGAAAATCCCGTCCTTTCTGTTTATATTGCTAACGGCAAGACTTCTTTTTACCATTAAGTGCACTTTCATAATGTATTCGATAAACTTATTCAATATTTTAACAAAACTGAGTGTGATAAATTGTAATATTTTGATAAAAAGAGAAGACACGCAGTAGGTTTTTAAAGATCAGGCAACCCAAAAATGCCCTCTCCTGTCCAGAGGTATGTGTGGGATGTGTGTTTAACACTTTCTTAGGTATCTTTCCAGAGACGTTCTCTCTAGATCTAAGCACATTTTTAACCCAAATGAGAACTCACTAGACATCTTTATTAGCTTGCTTTTTTTTTTTTTCTTTCTCAATGAAGGCTGTATCCTGGACATTATTTTATAACAGCCTGTCAGCGAGGTGGGAACAGTTACGCCCAACGTCCAGGCGAATCAACTAAGGCTCACAATGCAGGGTGCCTGTCAGGGTCTCCTCTCGTGGGTCTGGCAGAGCTGGGATCCTGGGAGCTGTGTAGGACCCAGAAGCAGGTGCACCCGTCTGGTCACCTCAGCCCCCCATGGAGCTGCAGGGCTGGAGAGGTCCTAAACCACCCCGCAGATTGTCCACAAAGCTGTCCTCCACCCACCAACTGAGGGGGTCTGGCTGTGCACACGTTGGCAAGGAGGGTTGGGTCCCACCTGTGACCGACCCACCCTCACCCTCGGGGAACCCACCCCAGACAACCCTCACCCTCTGCTTTGCTCCCCGCTTCCAAGACAAGTGCAGGCTGGAGACAGAGGAATGTCTGTGTTGTTTCCCGGGCTTTGCTTTGCTCCCAGAAGGAGAGTGTGTCTCCAAGCTAACAGACGGCACGAGTTCTGTTTCAAAAAGGTCATCATAGAGAAAGTCCCTGGGAGCCGTTTCTGGACAGACTCTGCCTTCCCAGCCCCCACACTGTCCTTAGGCCTGGCCAGGTTGCGGGGCTGAGCCAGGCTCCAGGAAAGTGCAAATGCCCCGGAATTGGGCTCAGAAGGGGCAGCCTTTTGAAGGCTGCTGGAGGGCCCTGGTTTCCACCTGGCATCTCCTGGGGAGCTGCCCCCGGCCCACCCAGCCTGGGCAGGCCTTTCCGATGAACACCGGTGAAGCCAGCGCCCAGAGCCACCGCCACGGGGGAAACCACCAGACCTTTGGCTTCGGTTCAACTCAGCGGATGTCAGCGGAGCCCAGGGTTCTCGCTGAGGTGACAGATCCCTGCCCTTGAAGAGTCCCCTGTGAGGAGACCAGTTCATGTTGGGATTCTGAGGGGAAGCTGAGAGGTTTGGCCTGAGTCCCTTTACCAGCCATGCCTCAGTTTCCCCGCCTGTCCCAGAGCACCTCACTCACAGGGCTGTACGAGCAGGTAATGCAAAGTTGAGTCAGGCATCTGCCGGGGGTGGCCAGCAGCTGTGGCCAGAGAGGGTCCAGAGCCCTGGGTCTAGTAGGGCCACCGTGGTCTGGGTTCAGCGGGAGAAGAGTGGGGGCTGCCGGCCGGAGACAGCACGGATTCTCAGAGGACAGTGGGCTTGAGCTGGCCCTGGGGACTACAGCGCTGGGTAAATGTTTGTGGGGGCTGGGAGATGTCTTGTGCGTTCCTCCTCTCTGTCCTGCTGAAGGATGGGGCCCAAGGAGCCCACCCTGCCTTCCAGAGCTCACGGACCTGTGGCCTTCCCCAGCCTCCAGCTCCTCTGGGCAGTGCAGGGGGGACGTTCATCTTCCAGGAATGAAAGAAAACTAGGCCAGGAGCTGCAGCCCCAGGACTGGCCCCAGCCCTACCCTGGCAAGGGGCTGCCCTGGTGCTCCGGAATCTAGGGTGAGTGTCCTCTGGCTCCTGCTGGGGGCCCTCTCTTTTCTCTGCCACTGTCTCCCTGGCCATGTGTCTGGACTGTCCTGGGATCCCTCCCCTGTGAATCTCGCCTGCCCCGGGCTTTGTGTGCCGGTGTCCCAGGGAAGGTGAGCTTCTCCCAGATGGCTGCGAGCAGTGGGCGGTCTGGCCCCGAGTGCTGGGGCAGCAAATTCCACCTGCAGAGGGCATGGCCATTGGCACGCATACGCCACAAGCAGGGACCGAGCGTGGATCAAGGGCGAGAGGCTTGGCCCGCTACTATGGGACCCTAAGGACGCCGGGAAGAGCCCACGGGCCAGCTAGGAGGGCAGGTCTTGATATGTGGACAGTGATGGAGTGGTAAGGGCCGGTGGGACGCCGGCCTGCAGGCTTCTTGTTGGGAGTAGGAGTTCACAGACGGGTGAGGGTCCGAGGGTGTCCCAGGCGGGCACAGCTGACTCAGCCGAACAGAAGAGCCGGCGTGGCCTGCGCGGCTCAGAGATCCCGAGTCTCCTCTCCGCTCACGAAGACGTCACGCTGGGGTCTCCAAGCCAGCAGAGAGCCGGATGGGGAAATACAGACTCGGGTTCATCAGTGCACGTGGGCCAGCCCTGGGCTCACACCCCCGGTGTTATTGACCGTGGGTCAGACGCTCTGCAGCTGCCCTGGGTGTGGGCCGCTCCCGCTGTGCTCTGCGCAGAATTTCCTCCTGCTTCCGGGAGAGGGGCTTTCACAGCCTTCCTGGAGGCCTCCTGACCTTGGCAGGGTTTGCGCTGAGGACCACTGGGGGAGGGTAGAACCTTGCGGATGAGTCCCCCACCTGATCTGGGGAGGACAGAGGATGAGTCAGAACAGAGGCCATGACGGACATGGAGCTTGTGTCTCCCGCCACCCCCCCCAAATACTGGGCCAGTGTCTGTCCTGCTATATCCGGGGGCACGCGACAGCCCCTGGGTGTTCTGGAGGAACCAGTGTCTAGCCCGGGGCCTACTGCGGTGGTTTCAGCCACAGGAGGGCTAACCCCAGAGCTCGTAGGAGTATGGGGCTGTTGCATCAGCCCAGCTGCTGTTACAACAAGGAAAGTTTCCCAGGAATAAGGGAGCCGATGACCAGGACACCGAGAGAGATAAGTCAGAACTAAACAGAACTGACAGCAGGGGAGCAGATGTGCCTGGGGGCACCAGGCCCCGCACCGGCAGCCCCGCCTTTCAGACCCGGATGGGCCTTTCTGGAGCGGCTGGACCAGGTCCAGCAGGAAGCCCAGGCTCTGGCAGTTGCCCTGACACAGAAGGCGGAGACGCCCCCGACCTGCACCTGTCGCTCGCCAGCCCTTGGCGTGGCCCCGAGTCGTGTCCCAGGAGGACAGCCAGGGAAGGCGGAAGATGGCCCTCCGCCAGCCACAGCGCTCGTCCCTGTGAAGCCAGCCATTGTCACCGAGTGACTTCCCAGGGGTGCGGGAATGGACAGTGTCCTCCCCAAAGTCATTATCTTTCCTGAAACCGCCGAGCACAGTTTATTTGGAATTGGGCTGTGGCAAGCGTGATTATTTAAATGAAGATGAGGTTGGACTGGAGTGCAGTGGCCCATAATCCAATCTGACTGTCCCTATAGTGTCCCTGTAGTGTCCCTGTCGTATCCCTGTAGGGACAGAAATGCAAAGACACGGGGAGATAGCATGTGACAATGGAGGCCTGGGCTGGGGTGACGCACAGAGGGTCAAGGAACGCCAAGGACTGCCTGGGTCACAGGGGTATTGGAGAGAGGAGGGACCCTCCCCCGGCGTCCCGGGAGGGGTGCAGCTTACACCGCGTTCATTTCAGACTTCTGGCCCCCAGACTGCGAGGGAAGAGGTCTCGCTGCTGGGACCACCTAGTTCAATGGCCTTTGCTCCACTCAAGGGACCTCTAGCTCTGGGATTGACCTTCGTTTGCATCTTCTCGCAAGGGGGAGAAAAGCACACAGTCAGAGGCCTGGAGCACTTGTGTCCCGGGACCTACCTTCCCTTTCCCACCCTGACTGGGCTTTCCAGGACCTCCGCCTAGTGCTCGGTGCCCCTGCACCTGGGACCCTATCCATCCTGCCAGCCCCAGCCCCGGGCTTCCACCCCGTCCTGGGCCTGCCTTTGTCCTCCCTGGTCACCTTTGATCTCTGGTCTCTACAGATCGCTGGCCATAGGTAATCAATCACCAGTGTTTGTGGAAGCGTCTCCTGCACTCCCACACCTCACCCAAATAACCCTCAAGGAGCACTTTGTTCTCACTTCCTTGTCTCAGGGGAGGCTAAGACAACACAGGCCGGTGGGCACTTGTGAGACTCCCACATCCTGGTCGAAGCTGGGCCAGGCTCCAGCCCCGGGGCCAGGGGTGGCCCTTCAGGAGGGGACTGTGTCATGAGTTGTCTAAACTGGGACACTTTTCAGAGCCTACAGGGAGGGGACCTCCCGCCAGCCCCCTGGGGGTGGCACTCATTGTCGAGTCCGTGTGGCTTTGATGGAGCACGGGCACAGGTACTCCTCCAAGCTCTGGACCCACACAAGCTTTCTGTGAGACGTGAGTGTGCCACGACCCACCACGTCTGACATACGCGCTGATGGGACACTTCTGTGCCGCTGCGAGTGCGAGTGTCTGGCCCTCCGTGTGCTCCGGCTGCTCCAGCAAAAGCCCATGGACTGGGAGGCTTATAAATCAGTTTATTTCTCACAGCTCTGGAGACCGGAAGTCA